TATATGTGCACTTTTTTATTTTTTATTTTTTTATCTTTAATACTTTGTTTTGTATCTCGTTGAATCACCTTGAAATAATTTAGGAAATGAGTCGTTTTTTTCTTAATATATAACAGTATCTATATTCATGTCTGTATATTAAAAAAAAAAAACACTAAATACAAACTGAACTTATTGAAAAGTGACAAAAAAATATCGAAATCCTCCTTAATTGTCTTCAGTCCTTCAAGTTATCGAAACAATTGACTCACTTTTCAAATAATTTAGTTTGTGTATAAAGTGTTTTTTTTTCTATCTTAGTATCAACACACCTAGAGTTGTTTGTCGGTCATGTCTGTATATGGAAACGCATTAATATTCACATTATGTATCCCTGGTTATGTACCTCTTTATTCACGTCTATTTTTGGGTTGTGTTTATTAGTACAAGTAGCTGTATGTAATTCATAAGCATCTGTATTAGTAGTTATGTGTCATAATCTTACATTAATCTATTTCTTAATATCTGTGTCTCTGTTCTTTTAATCTCTGAAGTTTCGGTAACCTTTCGTTTTTTTACGGTAAATTTAAGCTCGTTTTACGCTAATGTCAGTCACGTTAAAGGGTTTAATTGCCTGAGATAGGGTAACTTTTATTTTCCTTTTGAACTCTTTTGATATCTATTTCACTCCGCATAATCAGTTTTTTTTTTATATATATCCAAGGCGGAAATATATCCATTAGATTCAAATCCTCCCTTATTCGCAATCTGATAAAAACCTCCTATCTAAAACAGAAAAAAAGGCAAAAATCTTAAAACTAACCCTCACTTATATTCAATTACATAAGAGTCCCCTCTAAAAAAAAAAAAAGAAAACGTAGAAAATTGAATAAAAGAAAATAATCTCACAGAAAACGAGATCATGCCATGAACGTGACGCTTGGTCATGCCTGATCACGTGACAAGGAATGGCCTGAGGAAGTGACTGAGACAGGCACAATGATCCTGACGAGGGGGGAGAGGGAGGGAGGGAGGAAGTGGGGGGAGTAGGGGAAGGGAGGTTGTCTTCGTTAGTGGGGTTTGGCTGTTGGTTTGTATGATTTGTTTGTTTGTGTTTGTACTGATCTGTTCTTTTGAGTGTGTGTTTGTGTGCGCGTGTGTGTGTGTGTATGTATGTGTGTTTGTGTGAGTGTGTGCGCGTGTGTGTGTGTGTTTGTGTTTGTGTTTGTGTTTGTGTTTGTGTGTATGTGTTTCGTGCGTGCATGTATGCGTATCTTCACGTTTACATGTCCATGCATCGCTTGTTGGAAGAGTTACCTTCCCTATATAATGATTTTTTACCGTAATATCCCAACAATTATCTCGAAGTTCATGTCCACACAGACAACGCCTTCGTTCGGAAATAAATGTTCGTTGAACGGACACCATAATCCTAAAGAAAAGAAAGAATATATGTAGCGAGAAATTAGACCACGTCAGGCTTAAGAAAGTGCAGTACAACCCACAAATAACTGAACGTAATTATAATAGGAACGCACGATAATAAAAAAAAAAACGAAAATTAAAAAGAATAATCAGATTGAAAATTTTAAAAATAAAACTAAAGATTAAATGAATTCAGACTAAACATTAAAAAGATAATATATATATATATATATATATATATATATATATATATATATATATATATATATATATATATATATATATATATATATAAGAAAATAATACCGAAAACAAGAAAAAAAGTATCGGAACTTAAACCAGTGATGTAAAAAGCAACTCCTTTTGCATGCATAACTCTATTGGCTCTCTGCATGATTCATGCATGACCATGAAAGGAACTATGTAATACACAGAGAATGCAAGATTATGTACTGTACAGCCAAGTCTTCGAAGCTGTTGTTTTAATGCATAGTTAGTGAGAAAGAACTTTTGTAAATTCTATTTTGGGATGGTGATGATGGTGATGGTGGTGATGATGATGATGGTGTTGTTTATGGTGATGATGATGGTGGTGGTGATAATGATAGTGATGGTGGTGATGGTGTTGGTTATGATGATGGTGGTGGTGGTGGTGATAGTGATAGTGATGATGGTGTTGGTTATGGTGATGATGGTGGTGGGGATGATAATGATGATGGTGGTGGTTATGGTGATGATGGTGAGGAGGAGAAGGAAGAATGATAAAGAGGATGAGACGGAGAAGATGGATGAGTTTTTAATTAATTTGTTTGTTGCTGAACATATCTTTCCAATAATGTTCCGCTAAGTTCGTTTGTCATTCATGTTCTTATTAAATTGATCTAAATATCAGTGACCGTTTGTTCTTTTATAATACGTTCCGCCAATTTCCTAAGGTATAAAAGCTCCTGTTGAACTATTTTTTTTATTTCCTCAGTTATTATTGTTTGCGTTGAATTCCGGTTAAGTTCTTCAGTTATTCTTGTCACTATTTTGCTGCAAGTTAGACTGGGAGTCACTGACCTGTCTTTCGATCTGCTTTACATTCGATTCTGCTAAATACTTTTATGAGTTGCATATCAGTTAGACTTTGTTTACGCATTGTATATATTTCCACTTAAAAAAATTAAAATAGAAAAGTATTTTTTTTCTTCTTCGTTTTATTTTATTTTATTTATAAATTTTTCCTTCAACCTGAATCTCGGTTTTCAGTCATAAAACGATTATGTGAGAAAACGTGAGATTGCCACAAAATTCCGTTGCTCGTACGTGATGAAGTTATTATATATATAGGTAATAGTTTTTTATTCTGTTTTTATTTTTCTCTTGTTATTGCTGTTGTTTTTAAGGCCGATTCACCACAGGCAGAGAAAAACACTAGTCTTTGATTAAGTAAATAAGTTTTCTTGCTTTATAAAGTGCGATGTTTTTTTGTTTTTTTGTTTTTGTGTGTGCGTGTGTGTGTGTGTGTGCGCGCTTGTGTATGTATGTTTTCATGTCTTATTGACAAATACACACCATTTTCCAAATACCAGCGCAGACCACAAACACTGTATTATCTCGGCACGTGTCTCCCCACACTCTTACGATTTTCATTTGGTCTCGTTACCTTGAGAACCAACATAGCAATCAACAAGGCGGTGTCATTTCATCGTGTTTTTTAATACTGTTTCAAAACCAAACCATTTTACACACACAGTGCATCGGGGAGGGAGTGAAAGTTCCTATACACACAAAATCAACGTTGTGCAAACACCTTCCCCCCCCCCTCCCCCTCCCCCCTCCCTTGGCCACGCGTTGTTTCACCAGTAATTACCCGGTAATTATGTGAAGGTCATTAGACGGCCGCGCACGTACACGGACCTGATACGTCAAGGTGGTCAACAGAAGAGAGAAAAAAAAGCGTGTTCTCAAATATGAATGAATTTTTTTTTTTTACTTTTACTTAATTTCAATGCTATACACTTAGGTATGCGGTTATAATATGCTCATATTTTCGAAAAGATCACTTGAAGATTTTTTTTTTCTCTAAAATCGTATCGCATATTTAGAGTTCATGTTTACTAAGGACTCTCAATACGTGACTTTCATTCTAATATATCTAATGTCTTGCTTTAATTTCAACTCTGTACACTCAGGATTTTTTCTACTTACCATTCAAAAGAGCACTTGAAAATTTTTCCTCTGTTTTTCTAAAACCGTATTGAATATTGAGATAATTTTTGGTTTAGATGTCAATATTATACGTTTGAGAATGTAGTTCAAAGTTTACAAAAAAAAAGGTGCCGTTTACTTCCTCGTGTTTGTCTGAGAGTAATTATTGTCGACTTAATGTACAAGTGACATAGAGGATAAAAAAGAATGTCAGGTTAGTACGTAAGGTAAGTGGAAAGGATGACAAGAGAAAAGAATGGAGATGGGGAGAGAGGAAGTGCATGGTGGAGATGGAAGAAGAAGAAAAAGAAAAAGAGAAAGGAGAAGAGGAGGAGGAGGAGGAGAAGGAGGGGGGAGAAGAGGAGATAGAGGAGGGGAGAGAAAGAGGAGTAGGAGAAGAAGAAGAAGAAAGTAAACTATATCTCTCCATTTCCTGTCTTCGATTTAGTCCCGGATTTGATTGAACTTTTCACGTGATTATAGAGTTAAAGAGATATTTAAGAAAAGGAGAAATAGGAAAGAAGAACATACCAATGAAAGAAAGAAGAAGAGAATGAGAGAAGAAAAAAAAATCAGATATTACGTCAAAATATTTCATATTTCTTAACTCGTATATTTCACCAATTTGCTGGAATTTACTTTACACATTAACGGTTTTATAAGATTAAAAAAAGATTTACGAAGAGAAAACAATAGCAGATATGACAGAGGCCGTTGGTGACACCCCAGGCCATGCGAGGAAATGTAGGATGCATGACGTTGGCAACACTGTTCATTTTTTTGTTTTTTGTTTCTTTAGTTTTTTTCTTCGTTTTTTGTTTTGTTTCATTTTTCGTTTTTTTTCGATGTGTGTTATTCTTGTTATGACTTGTATAATTCGTAGGAATAAGAAAATGGATTTTTTTTTTATATTGATGGAGGTGTTCGTTGGTATTGCTGCTGTTGATGTTACGGTTTTTTGTTTGTTTTTTATCGTCATCATCTTTATCTTCATCTTCTTATTCTTCTCCATCACTTCCAACTCCGTCTCATCTTCCTTCTTCTCTTCCTCTTTCTCGTTCTCCTCCTCCTCCTTCTCCTTCTCCTGCTTCTCCTCCTCCTCCTCCTCCTCCTGCTCTTCCTCCTCCTCCTCTTCCTCCTGCTCCTCTTCCTCCTGCTCTTCCTCCTCCTCCTCCTCTTCCTCCTCCTCCTCCTCCTCCTCCTCCTCCACCTTCCTCCTCCTCCTCTTCCTCCTCCTCTTCCTCCTCCTTCCTCATCATCATCATCATCATCACCAAGATTAACCTAAACCTTAACCAAAACAAATAAACAAAAAATAAAAATAATCTAAAACTATAAAAAAAACAGACAAATAAAAAAAAGTATCACAAACTAATAATGTTATTATTGTTTTTTTTTTTCAG